AGTTACACATTGCCCATGTCTAAGTATTCGGAATTCCTTGATTTTCTGGGGGGCCAAGCTCCTTTCATTTCTACTTGTTCTATCCTGGGCCTCTTCCTGGCCACCAGGGGTCGGGAACAGTTAGAAACGAGCACAATTAGAAATGAGCACGATTAGAAACGGCCCAGCAGTCTGCTCCAACCCGTGCGTGGAGGCGTGTGCCTTGGGAGGCTCCAGGCCCGGGGGGCGACTCGTCCTCCTCCTCCTCCTCCTCCTCCTCCTCCTCCTCCCTCCTCCCTCCTCTCTCCTCCCTCCTCCCTCCTCCCTCCTCCCTCCTCCCCCCTCCCCCCTCCTCCCTCCTCCTCCTCCATCTCCTCCTCCCCCTCCCCAGAAGTGTATGACTTATTGGGTGGTTCAGAAGTTATGCATTGTTTGTCCCACGTTATCCGAGCGTCTCTGGATAGACGACCTGTCTCAGAGGGTTGTGGGCTCGAGGCGGCACGTGCGGGCCGCCCTATGCAAGGGCATAGCGGCGACGGCGCGTTTTCTCAAGGAGATGCAGCTGAGTCTCCCGCCGAAGAGTGTTGTCACGTGCTCGCATCCGCAGGACGCCCATTTCATTGTGAAGGCTCTCCGTAGGAAGTCGGTGTACGTCAAGGCCGCCCTGCATACCGCCTACCTGGGCGTTGACCTCGGGGGCGGCAAGAGGCAGTCGAGGGAGATTGCGCGCAAGAGGGTCGTGAAGGGTGGCACTCAGCACGACAAGTTGCGTCGCTTTGCCCGTGCGTCGCGGCGCTTCGCCACGGTGAAGTTCCAGCGGGCGGGTCCGCAGGCGGCCGCCACCTACGGGCACCAGGTGTACGGTGTTCACGGCAGCGGCATGGTGCTCCAGCGGCGCCGCCTGGCGGCCGCAGCGGGCTCCTTGGGCAGAGGGCGTTGCAAGACAATGCTACTTGCCCTGCGCCTGCCAGGCGGCGATCCAGGACTGGCTTTCCCCAAGCATTGCCTGGTGCAGTGGTTCCAAGTATGGCTGTCGGGACCTCGAGTCAGAGCGGGAGTCACCCGAGTCTGGCCGCGGATCGCCGAGCAGCCCAGCAGGCTGGCCGAGGTGGACCGAGCTCGCCACGTCCGCGGCCCAGTGTCTGCGGTCATCGCGTATCTGTCGCATGCTGGGTGGAATCCGATTTCGGCGACTGAGTGGGACACGTCGAGTGACATCTCTCAGGATCGGCACGGCTGGAGTTTCAGTAGTACCGATTTCTGTGCGATGGACCAGGCCGCCCCGCTCATCTCGGAGTTTGTGGATTCACTGGCGAGCAGGCAGTGGCGCGAGGCGGCGCAGCACTACTGCGGCGGCGGCCTCGAGGAAGGGTCAGACCTCATCAGCCGGAGGAAGTTTCTGGCAGACTTGCAGCACGTTCACCGCGGTCGCCAGCTCGCCGAGCTGATGGTGGCCATTGCGGTGGGCGGGTCCTGGCCCAACCAGAGGCGTTTCGAGGCGGGTCTCCGCGAGGACAGCCAGTGCGACAGGTGCGGGCAGCACGGTGAGACGGCCCTCCATCGCGCTTGGCTCCGCAGTTGCAACAGCAGCAGCAAGGCAGTCGCGGACTCCAACGACCTGGTGCCCATGGCAGTCGCGGAGTCCGACGCTTTCCCATGTTTCTGGCTCAGAGGCCTCATTCTGTCGGCGTGGACAAGAGTGACTCCGCCGACACCGGTGGAGCAGTGGCAGACTGGGTGCATGAACAGTGCAGTCTTGGCTGGTTGTCTAGGGCGAGGCACGGAGGATGCCCCGCTGCTCGTGTTCGGCGACGCGTCGGGCGGGCAGGACACGCACGACCCTCGCTTGCGCCGAGTCGGCATCGCAGTCACGGTCATCGATTCCTTTTCCCCGTTCCAGCTGGGCCCACATGTGCTGGGACCTCTGCCAGGGCCTGTCCAGACGGTGCCGCGAGGTGAGATTGCGGCGCTCGAGTTGGTCATTCGCCTCTCCGAGGGGTGGGTCATCTACGTGACGGACTGCGACGCGGTCAGTCGCGACTGGTGGGTGGGGCTGGCCAGTTGGCCTCAGGGCGAGAATGCAGACTTGTGGCGGGCCATGGGCCACTCGCTTCGTCAGCAGGGTCGGCCCCCAGAGCACATCATCGTGCTGCAGGTGCCGTCGCACCTGGACGGGCGCGGAGTCTTGGCGAGGCAGACCCCATCGTGGCTCGTGCAGGGCAACACAGCGGTGGACGAGCTGGCAGGCGCTGCAGCCAGCCGTGCCCGCGTGACGCCCGTTGAGCGCACGCGGGTGTTCGGCATCGAGAGGAGAGCGGTCCTAGTGAGGCGAAGGCTCCTGAGGACCGCCCTCGAGGTGCTGCAGGCCGAGGGTTCGGCCAGGACGAGCCAGGCCCGTCTAGCTAGTGCTCCGTCTCCCCCGCCTCCTCCCCCCCGTCCGCCTCCCCCTGCCCCCATTGTGCTTGCACGCTTCGCGACCCCGCACGTCCTGGCCGAGGCTGGGCGCTCTTGTCGCGTTTGTAGGTCTTCGGGTTCGGTTGCAGAGATGCGTGTGTGGCTTAGCAGCGAGTGTGTGCCTCTCGAGGCTGTTGACGGAAAGTGTTTCGGTTCCTTCTTGGACGACGTTTACACATCGCTGGAGGTTGGGCCCACCCCTCGCACGCTCTAGATTATCATGAAGTTACCTATTCGATTGTGGTTCTATCTCACCTGTGGCTTTTACGGCCAAGACCAGATCAGAGGTCTGGCAAAGCCTTGCGTTTTACCCATATCGAGGAAGCGCCGCGAGTATCTTGATATATTTGTTCGCGGCATGCCCCCAAAGTAAGTCTGAGATCAGCTTTTATCAGTCTTGTGATGGCGGAAATCCTGGAAATCCTCCTCCCCCTCCCCTCCTCCACCTCCTCCTCCTCCTCCTCCTCCTCCTCCTCCTCCTCCTCCCCCTCCTCCTCCTCCTCCTCCTCGGGTCGCCTACGATCTGAGGAGGAAGGCGCCACTTGGATCAAGCCAGCTCTCCCTGCTTGCTCCCAGGTCCCCTTGCGTTGCGAAAAAATCCCGACGGGAGGTTCTTCGCTATTTGCGGCCTCTTGGTGCCCTCACCGGGCCCCGGGACCGTCGAAAACCGATACAGGATGAAAAACCGGTCGCGGGGAAGGGGTCCAGACTTTTGGGGGTTGACGTTGCGAAAAGATCACGAAGTCGGGGGTCTGGGCTACCAGCCCCTGCCCCGCAGTGCATGTGGGATTCGGACGTCCCATCACGGAACAGAAGGGCACGGAGTTGGAGCATTGGATTTGTCCCGCGTCGCCGCAAGTGTCTGCTGTTTTGTGGCTGTAATCAAGTTATGCTTGCTTGGCTTCTCGATTCCGATCGCGACGTTGCCTGGACCTTGCTGTGGGCGTTCCTCGTCCCCTGGGCTGCACGCAAGAGTGGCCTTTCGCCGGAGTGACCTTTGATGCGGGAACCCTCGGGCCCCCCGATGACTGAACGCGATGCGATGGCAGCGTCTGGCGCGCCCGGGTTTGGCCTCCCCACAGCGTTCAGAAGTCGCGCACCAAAGGTCCCAGACCTCCGACGTCATGATTTGTTCACAACGTCGACCCCAGAGGTCTCGATCCATTCCCCGGGATCGGTTTTTCATCCCAAGTCGGTTCCTGACGCTCCCGATGCCCAGCAAGGGTCCCGAGAGGCCGAACATAGCGAAGACCTTTCGTCGCGATTTCTTCGCGACTCGAGGGGATCTGGGGCCACCCTTGCATAGGGTCACTCTTACGCGTAGCCGAGTCCCCGTGTCTCATCAGTATGCGCGGCGATATGGGCCAGTGCGACAGTTCAATCCCTGTCTGCGCGACCTTGGCGCGGCCGTGCTCGCCCTGCGCCGCTGCGCGCTGCTGTCGAGAGGGAGTCCTTGGCGATTGGTTTGAGCTGAGGCGCGCCGAGTTTTAAGGCACGCACCGCGTCCTTCCCAGACAGGATCGCGTCGTAAAAGAATAAGGACGGAGGCTTGTCACCCTGTTACGGTCTCTGGAGGCCCTCGCCGGGCCCCGGGGCTGTTAAAACGCGACGCAGGATGAAAAACCGGTACCGGGGAAAGGGTCGGGAATTCTGGGGGCGCCGTGTTGAAGAAATCAGGGCGTCGCATGTCTGGGTTTCTCTCGGGGCGCAGCGCTTCTCAAGGGGCGCGATACTTGAGGGGGATGTCCACGTCGCCCTCGTCGCGGCCAGCCGACAGGGGATACCGCAACCTAGCGTTTGATACTGGCAGAGACGGGGGAACCTCTAGGATAGGTGATGGCTCGCCGCTCCGGTGTCGCGACCCCAGAAAGTATGATGAGGGCGGCGGTGGTATCAGCGGCCAGGCCTCGAGTTGTGTTCCGCCAGCTTCCGGGCCCTGGATGCTTTCGGCACAAGGGTTCATTGTCCAATGCTCTCGCCGCAGCTGCCCACCCGCGACTAGCTCCCAGCAGGCTTCCCGCTGCTGGTCTGCTGCGGTTGCTCCCTTTCTCCCCCTTCTCCCCCCCATCCCCCTCCTGCCCCTTCTCCCCCCATCCCCATTCTCCCGCCCCTCCTCCTTTTCCTCTCCACCTCCTCTTCCTCCTCCTCCTCCTCCTCCTCCTCCTCCTCCTCCTGCTGCTCCTCCTGCTCCTCCTGCTCTTCCTCCTCTCCTCCTCCTCCTCCTCCTCCACCTTCTCCTCCTCCTCCTCCTCCTCCTCCTCCTCCTCCTCCCTCCTCCTCCTCCCTCCTCCTCCTCATATTTGCAGTCCTCGTCCTGATCATCCTTCAAGTCGTCGGGCGCCCTCCTTCTCCCTCTCCTCCTCCTCCTCCCTCCTCATCCCCATCCTCCTCCTCCTCCTCCTCCTCCTCCTCCTCCTCCTCCTCCTCCTCCTCCTCCTCCTCCTCCTCCTCATCCTCATCTTTCTCCCCACTCCTTCCCGCCCCTTCCTGATCACTCAGTCCTCCTCGTGACTCGCCCCTCCTCGGGCGGCCAACTCGCCACTCAGTCCGCCGAGAGGGGTGCGCAGGAGATCGTGCCGCTGTGCGGCGGCCGCTCCAGTGCGGGCAGCCCGGAGCTGCTCGTGACCCTCGCGCGCCGCGCTCTCAGACGGCCGCGGTGCTCTCCCCGCCCTCCCGTCGCCGTCCCCTCCCCTGTCCCTCCCCGGTCCCCTCGCCCTCCCAGCCTTCCCTTCGCCTTCCCCCCCCCCCCCCATTTCCCGCCTGCCCCCCGTTCCCCTTCCCTCCCCGTGCCCCGTCCTCTCCCCACCGCTGCCCTCGCCGTCCCCCCCACCCCTCCTCCCGTCTCTCCCGCCCCCTCGCCCCCCCCCCTCCTTTCCGCTCCCCCCCTCCTCCTTGATGCTTCCTCCCCGTCCCTCCTTCCCTCCCTCTCCCCCTCCGCTCCTTCCCCCCCCCCCCTTCATACACCCTGCACGCCTTTCTCATCCAGTCCGGGCCCCTCTTCCCCTCTCCTCCCCCCTTTCTCCGCTCCTCCTTTCTCCCCCCCTCCCCCTCTCCTTCTGCCCCTCTCCCCCCCCCTCCTTTTTCCTGTCCAAATAATGCATACTACACTCCTCTCTCCCCTGACTCTGTCCAGAAGATGTTCAGTCTTCTCCTGGTAATGTTTCACACAGGATTTCAATCATTGAGCTCCTGACAATTATTTTGCAATCCGATTTTCTCGGTGCTTCAAAATTGGTGTTCCTGCTGCAGCGGGGGGCCTATTTTCGGGTCGGCGCTTTTGCTCCCGTCGTTCAGAACGGCGCTTTCGCTCCAGCGTAGGCCACTTTCTGAATACCAGCCCTGCTTCATCACTGTTCAACCACTCGTTGCACGTCCTCCGCTCTCCCCTGGTCCTTCTGCTCCTCCCGTTCCTTCCTCCCTCCTCATCCTCCTTTTCCTCCTGCTAGTCCTCCTGTTCATCCGCCACCTCCGCCTCCAATGTACGCAGCCCCTTTTTGTTTCCGATTGCGCATAACACGATGGGGCCTTCTTTGGAGATAAAGATCCGTTATGTCACGCGTCGGCGGATATAGAAAACATGAAGCAATGGGACGGGATGGGTGGGATGGGCAGAATATCAGAGATAGAGCGAGCGCACATATCTTGACTCCCCTACCCTTTCAAAGACATCATATGGTTACTACCCTGAAGCGACCCTCACGAGAGTAGAAACCAATTCGATGCAGTTGCTCTCTGTGGAGCGTCGTGTTGCCCCCTTCTCCTCTCACTTCACTTCGCCGGAGGTCACCTCCGATGCTGTTAAAAACTCCTTCCTGCTCCTCCTCGTCCCCCTCCTTGCCTCCAGCGTGATGGGCCATGGGATCTCCTGGGCCTCCTGGGATTCCCAGAGGTCCCCTGGGACCTCCCCTGGCCTCCCGAAGCATCCTTTGGCCTCACTGGGCCTCCTGGCCTGGTGCCTCCTGTGGCCTCCTGGAGCTTCCTGCAGCCTCCTGGGACCTCCAGGGGCCTGATGTGCTTCCTGGTGCCTCCTGTTGCGATTCAGGCCCGCCTGGCACCTCCTGGGTGTTCAGGGTGCTCCCCGGCCCTTCAGAGATTTCCTGGGACCCCTGAGACCCCCTGGGGCCTCCTGGGACGTCTTGGGGCCTCCTGGGTCATCCTGCGGCTTCCTGGATAGAGTACCACCCGCCCTCCATATGCGAACATGTTGTCAACCTGTTTAAGCTTCAGGATCATAGACGATAACGAAGCCTCAGGCGAAACTCCTTCCTGGCCCGCCCTTCCGATTGGCCTCGGGGTGCGACAGTGAAGAGTTATCTAAGATACCATTACGGAAATGGAAAGGACGAGGACGAAGAGGAAGAGGAGGAGGAGGAGGAGAAGGAGGAGGAGGAGGAGGAGAAGGAGGAGGAGGGGGAGAAGGAGGAGGAGAAGGAGGGGGGAAGGGAAGGGGGAGTGGGGGGAGAGGAGGAGGACGAGGAGGAGGAGGAAGAGCAGGAGGAGGATGTGGAGGAGGAGGAGGGAAAGATGAGTGAGGGAGGAGGAGGAGGAGGTGGAGGAGGAGGAGGAGGAGGAGGAGGAGGAGGAAGAGGGGGGGTGATGAGTAGGAGGAGGAGGAGGAGGAGGAGAAGGAGGAAGAGGAGGGGGGGAGGAGGACGAGGAGGAGGGGGAGGAGCAGGAGGAGGAGGAGCAGCAGGAGGAGGAAGAGGAGGAGGAGAAGGAGGAGGAGAAGGAGGTGGAGGAGGAACAACCTGGATATACATATATATATATATATACAAGACTGCAGTGGCGCTTCGCGCCATGCACCTTGGTCCTTGAAGCTTGACATGCAGGTGGAATAGCAGGAAGGCCAAGCCGACAATTTAGCGATAACTCCTTGTTGCCTTTTCCGGTATCGCCGCTATAATAATGTTATTCGTTATCCTGCCTCCATGGTTCTATTTCCTCATTTTCGCCATACCCTGCGCATTCTCCCCATCCTCCTCAGCTCTTTTTTGCGGAGGCTCCTCCTTGGAGAGCTTCTGGGGGCCTCACAAAAGTTGTTTCAGGCTTCCTTAAGGCCTTCTGGAGGCCTCCTGGGCGTATTCTGGGGGCCTCTGGGGGCTTCCTCGGGCCACCCTGCCTCCAACCGCGGTCTCGCTGAACGACCGGGTCACGATATGGAATGCTTCGGAGGGAGTCTTGGGGCCATCTTGGGCCGCCACGGGGCTCTCCGAGCGCCATCTTGGACCCGTGTTGTGCCGTTTTGGGGCTCTCTTGGACTGCCTGGAAGCCCTTTCGGATGGTCGTGGGGCGATTTTGGAGCCTCCCAGGCGGCTTCGGACGCCCAGAAGATCGCCGTCTTGGAGCGTCGGGAAGCCGAAAAGAGGAGAACCCCAAAATTCACCAAAAAACACCAGAAAATCAATGAGTTTTGCCTCTTGGGGCCTTCTTAGGAGTGCTCTTGGAGGCCTCTTTGGGGCAGTCCTGGGGGCCTCTCGGGCCATCTTGAGGTCACGTCGGTCACTCTTGGAGCGCTCTTGTGCTGTCTTGGGGGTCCCTGGGACGTCTCCGATGACCCCCCTGATCGCCCTGGGTGTGCTGGGAAGGCTTGGCTAAACGCCCTGCGAGGCCCGGGAACCGCTTCGAGGCCCGTCCGGAGGGTCCCAAAACCCCAGATCCCGGGAGTCCAGTTTGGGGGGGGTGGGGGGGGACGGGTTTTCCCCCCGCCCGGGCTTATACAAATATAGGAAGAGGAATATATATATATATATATATATGTATACACACGAATTGTCGATTCTCCCTCCGCCCACGTTCCGCTCGAGGCCGCGGGCTGGCGGTCTGCGTCTCGTGCTCCCGCTGGCTGGTCGACCGCACTGGCCGCGGGGGGCCTTGGGAGGGAAGGGGGAGGAAGGAAAAAGAAGGAGGAAGGAGGAGGAGGGAGGACAAGGAGAAGGAGAAGGAGGATAGAGGGTGGAGGATGGAGGATGGGTGATGGAGGATGGAGGATGGAGGAGAAGGAGAACGAGGAGGAGGAGGAGCAGGAGGAGGAGGAGGAGGAGGAAGATAAGGAGGAGGAGATGGAGGACTGCGAGGACGAGGAGGACGAGAAGGAGGAAAAGGAAAAGGAGGAGGAGGAGGAGGAGGAGGAGGAGGAGGGGGAGGGGGAGGAGGGAGGAGGAAGAAAAAGAGGAGGAGGAG